TACTACTACTACTACTACTACTACTACACGCACGCAAACACAAAAATACTCACACGCACACACACGCATCTATCTATCTATCTATCTATCTATCTATCTATCTATCTATCTATCTATCTATCTATCTATCTATCTATGTCACTGTTAACACTAGTGATGTTTCGAACTACTCTGACACAAGAAATTATGGTGCCAATTTTAAAAACATTATGTGTCCACCAGAGTAAAGGAGGGAGTCACACCTACCTTATCTTGCTCATCTTATCTTATATCGCCATTTTATCTTATCTTGCCCATCTTTTATTTCTACTTCTTATCTCATCTAGTATATCTTATCTTATTTCTCCATTTATCTTTTCTTATCTTGTCTATCTTATCTTATTCACCATCCATCTCATCTTGTCTGTCGTATCTTATTTCGCCAACTTATCTTATCTTGTCTATCTTATCTATTTCCCCATCTCATCTTATCTTGCCTGTCTTATCTTATTTCGTAATCTTATTTTATTTTGTCTATCGTATCTTATTTCACCATCTTATCTTGTCCATTTTATCTTATTTCTTCATCTCATCTTATCGTGTCTATATTATCTTATTTAACCATCTTATCTATCTTATCCATCACTATCTATATTCCTGGGGTTGTGTGGCAGGACCAAGCACTGTTGGTTTTGAATACGTTAACTGTGTTTTGTGGGACAATAAACATATCATGAAACAAATTATCTTGATTGGTCTCATTTCCTCTTGTATTACGTAGAGAACAAACGATATTTTGGTGTGAGGGTAAAACGGACCAATTCGTACACCAAACTAAGGCAGGGGTAAGATTTCAGTTACGGCAAGGCGCTTCCCCGTCATAGGTAGTAGTAGACCCGAGTTCGATTCCCAAGTAGGAATAGGAAATTAAATAAAAAATAAAGTATGTCATTCTGTCTGCTGGGACGATCTGTCACTCTCAGCCCGGGTTGGATGTCACAGCCAGGGTCGAAGTCCGCTTTCAAAACGATCTTCATTGTGCTGGTGGGGTTGTAGAACACTTACACTTAAAAAGAAGAGAGTTCCACCCCCACGTCTTTCCGCACCATAACGACCACAGCAAGATGTTTTAGTAAGGTTTTACGGCGCTCGCAACTGCTTAAGGTCATATGAGCGCCAAAGGAGGGATGTCAACAGAGAAGTCCAAACGGGGAATCAGGCTTACTCTGATTACCTCTCTAGCCTCAAGAGCATAAAGTCTGCTTTGACTATCAAGGCAGGCACCCCAGAAATAGCAGTTCACAAGAGAGTGACAAATATACAAAAGAAGTAGAGGAAAAATGACGATGGTAAGTATGAGGAAAGAAAAACAGTTCCCTCTATGTTGTTCCGGTATAGTATGAACATGACATTGGTAAAGCACCCCGTGCCATACACAATACTACAGCAAGTAGTTTCCCATTTATGTAAGCAAACCCTACTAGACTAACACCCCTGGCGACCGCGGATGTTGCAAACCACCAGGTCAAGCAGTTCCAAACGGGAGACCAAAGTTTACATTGATGGCTATTCAACGGTAACTGATGCGACAAGTGAGATATTTCTTCTGTCTCTTCAGTTATCGACATTAAACATGTAACAGCATTTGCATCAAGTAACTTTATTTTAAAGGACTGCAACAATTATGATTCTTAATATAATGTATTTCTAATGTTCTGATCTTTTAAAGTTGAAATAAACTAAACGATAATGAAGTATATTGATATCATTGTAAGAAAGTATTATCCAAATGTCTGATCATGTTACCGTCAGTTAAGTACTGACCTCCCCAGCATTCAGCACTTTGGACTTGAGCATGTTTGGGTAGACGTTATGGTGGTACCACTGGAAGTCGTGACATTTGAGTCTGTCTCTGAGCGCCTTCCGCTCGGACACGTCACCGTACTCGGACTAGGAATGTCAGTGACAGGAGAATGTTATGTCAGTCACTGATGATATGTTGTATCAATGACAGGGAGTATTTTTGTCAATGACATGAAGTAACAATAAGATTTGTCAGTGACAAGCATTAATAATATATGTGTTGTCAGTAATAGGAGATATGTTATGTCAGTGACAGATGATGATATGTTGTGTCAGTGACAGGAGACCTTTTTGTCAATTGCATGAGGTAACAATTAGTTATGTCAGTGACAGGAAAAAATTATATATTACTATGTTGTCAGTAATTGATAGGAGATATGTTATGTCAGTGACAGTAGATGTGTTATTTCATTAACAGGGCATATTATGGTATATCAGTGAAAGGTCATATATTATGCAATTAACAGGGCATATGTCATAAACAGGGTATATACCGATACATATTATATGATTATACAGAAAAAGAAAAAAAAGGAGAAAGAGAAGGAGAAGAAGGAGAAGGAGACGGAGAAAAAGAAGAAGAAGAAGAAGAAGAAGAAGAAGAAGAAGAAGAAGAAGAAGAAGAA